TATATATATATATATATATAACATTAGTTAAAATTAATTATGATATAATATTTTTTTAATTAAATAAAGCATAATCGAGCTTCTTAAAGAGCATTTTCACGAACTCTAAACGATGTTGTTCGTGAACATAAACGAGTCGAACGTCAGGCTGTTCAAGATTGTTTATTTAGCTATCGAGTGTTGTCAAAGTTGTTCAAGCTTGTTCATTTACCTTATCAAACGAACATAAACGAGCTCTTATTGAGCCGAGCAACGAGTAGCTTGTCGAACGCTCGGTTCATTTGCAGCCCTATTGCGCATGCAAGAAAGAAATTGTGGTTGAAATCATCAAGTGAAGGAAACTATACGGTGTAGATTACTCCGCCATTAAGGAGAGGGTGTCTGCTATAATGATAGATTGTATTGGAATCCTAAGAAAGGGAGTAAGTTGTGGATGTTCGTTAGTTGGGTACCCACCAAAATAAAAAATCAGTTTTCTATTGATTTTAGTTAAATATATAATCTTGCTATTTACTTAATTGCATGTTTGAATGTCCTTATGGTAATTTGATACTTTCATAGCTTATATGTTATGGTTATCAAAAAGAGCTCTTTATTTGTGCTTAACCTTATCTTACATACACTTAGCATTATTTATCCTAGCAATCGCCATCTTTAATATATGGACACATGTACGGTTGCCGTGTACTTTGGCAGTTGATTATTTAAGAGACTCATAAGCTTGTATGGTTGAGCAAATCAATCAATTGTGCTCAATAGTATTATCACTCAAACAATATATCATGTTTTTGATTCAGGAAACTCTTCTTACACTTGCAGGTTGTTTAATTTGCTTACAAGATTTTGTGTTAGTATTCATGAGTGTGAATAATCTACATTGCCTAATATTTGGTCAACCACATACTAGCTTTGCACATATTATACATCTTGATTACAAGCACTTGTATTTTTGTATGGGAATATGTTTAGTTTAATTATTTGCACCGTGCACTTAATATTTGAATTTGAGCTGAAAAGAATTTAAAAAGAATTCTAGAGTAGCATTGCACACCCAATTCAACTCTGTTTTTGGTGTGCACAAACTCTACATCAACAAAAGCCCATCATCCATTCGGCATTGAGAATTAACCTTTTTCTACATTAAGCATAGTGTTTGTTTAAAGTTATATATTACGTATGTCTGTCAAGTGGTAAACCCTCCTGTGTACACTGCAACAATAAGAGCATCAATAACGACTATTCACCTTAAATCAGCACACGAAAAAAAAAAATTTATATACAATTTTACAAAATTTAAGTACATAACAAAAAACATTTGAATGCCTAGCTTGTGGAATTGGATGGATTTCACCGAAGAAGTTTAACTAAATTAACCCATGATGCAGGAAAGAATGCACAATATGCATGCAAGTTTAATCAAGGAAATATATTTCCATGAGAGTATGCAAAGTCATAAATGCAAGAAATATCTCATCACCTTAAAGAAATTTAAGCGGAATCACATCACATACCCATTATAATCCCTTGAGCTCCTCTGTAATAAGAGCTTGTCAACGTTCTGAATCTCTCCTGCCCAGCTGGAAGATAGAATTATGACTTTAAATGTTAAAAATTCAATAAAAAGAAATTAGAATAAAACTGATTTTGGCGTCATGAAACATTCTTTTATTTAATAAAAAATTAAAAGTTTATGTCACAATAAAAATCTGTTATTCACCGCAGAAGTAATAACAAAGCTATTATTCTTTTAGGGGATTACTTTATTTACACAGTTAGGAGAAGGCAGACCTACGATTTGTGATTCACAAAAGGGCCTTCCACGGTACTAATTTGAGATTTGGCTGGACAGTATGTTATTTGTTTCCAAATCAAAGAAGTCAGAGGCCACTTCAATTATTCCTCTAAAGTTCAAGAATGCTGTAATTCTAAAATGCTTCAAGAAATATGCCATTTACAGTCTAAGATAATCACAATTCTCAAGTTTAACGGATCAATTAAACAATATCATGCAGTTGCATGTATTCCATGGAGAGTTTAAGCAATTGTGCACCTTTATTGGATGAAAAGCAATCAATCAAACTTGCATCATAAAAAAAAAAACAAAAAAAACAAATTGTAGCAAATGTCAATAGTTGGAAAAAGGTCAAATTTTAAGCTTAAAAGACCTGACCAAATGTCTTTGTGATGCGAAACCAATAGGAATTGCAGGGAAATAATAAAATTATCGTAAGCTTGCTACTGTAAGATTAATGAATCACAGGAATTAATTTGAGGAATTATCCATTGACATTTAGCTCTGGCATGCAATTACAATTTTACGAGAACAGGTCAATTTAAAACAATATCAAAAAATACAATAAAACTATATGTTCAGTAATAATAATCCACAGGTTAATATCAAGAGCTTTACACCTAGAGTTTCTTTTCTCACTCGCACTCTATGAAGGGCTTTAGTGGAGAGAGATCTTCAGCAAACCAAGCGATGCCACTAAGAAAGTTATGACGCCGATGATCTTGATCTATGGGAAGGTAGCCGGAGAAGGAGGCGCAAAAGAACGTCCGACGAGTTGCCACTGTCCAGGTGGTCGTTGTTCGTCGATCATCTCGGCTAGATGAAATAGAATGTAGTCGACGTACTCTTCAACAAAATCTTCAAACTCCCGGTCGGGATCGAAAGGCGACTGAAGAATATCAATTTGGCCTTGAGAATCGTACGCAAATTCGTGGTCGACTTCAGGATCGGCAATCCATGAACATGAGAGTATTCTTTGTTGTGAACCTTAGAGGAGCCGGCGGTTAGTGAAGGGAGAAAGGAGGAGGGGGCAGCGGATTGGGGGGTTCGGGTGGAGAAGAGGACGGCTAGGGTTAGGAGGGGATTGGGAGGTTTGGGTGGAGGAGGGGACAACTAGGGTTAGGAGGGCTTAGGTTCTTTTAGGTTACTTACCAAGGAAGGTAATTAATTAAACAAGTTAATGGAGGTGGAGGGAAATTAGAATTAAAATTCGAATTTCAAAATTAGGGCAAGGGCAAGGGCAAGGACTGGCGGCCTGCTTGGATGAGGGAGGGGATGGAGGGGAGATTCATGGTTTCCTAAAGCAGGGGGGGGGCTTAATGCAAGGGAAAGGAGGTGAGCCATGAGCCAAGGAATCTTTCGCCAACTGGTGGATGCTGCTTTGCCCACACCATGGGATTTCACCACTCAAGAACTCTCATGCTCAGGAGGAAATTAGAATTTTTGTTAATCAATCATTAAAAATAATACAAAGTCTAGGGCCTCTATATATAGGCCTCCACAATGAAGAAAACTCAAAGACAAATATGCTCTCCGAGCTACAACTCACCAAACTCCCTCATAGGGGTACAAAGGTCAACTAAAACAAATAATGAAAACAATACTAATACAAAAACATAAAATAACTCATAAATAGATGCTCCTGATTGTGGTCGTCGATCTGCGATGTCTTCTGTGATAGACGTGCTAGAACATTCCACTGATATCCTCATCATTCTCCCTGGTGGGAGAAAGCTCGACCCCGTCGAGTAGCTGTCTCGAGAGCTCTCGTACTAGAAGATCGGGGTCCAATCTCTGCAACTCTTCACGATCAATCCACATGTTCTCCGTTTCCGGTTTACCTGCCTATTGAACCAAATACCTTTGGCGCCCACCTTCTTTAGTGGAAATAATTTTGTCGTCCAGTATTTCTTCGATCTTCTCTGTATTAGGTAAATGAGGCAAATTGGAGAGTGGAGTTAGGCTAGGGTTCTCACTAGGTAGGTTTACACAAGACTCATGTAGTGGATTAGAAGGGTTAAACTCTGGTCTCTTAAAGGCTACTAGATCTTCAATATTGAAAGTAGGATTTATACTAAAATTTTCAGGAAGATCTAGCACATAAGCATTATTGTTTATTTTTGAGATTATTTAAAAGGCCCTGCACTCCTAGCATGAAACTTTTTAACGGATCCTTGAAGGAACCGCTCCGGACGAATCCGTACCATTACAAAATCTCCAACTTCAAATTCTTTAAATCTTTTCTTGCGATCAACATTAAGCTTATAGTTAGTGTTGCTTTGTTTAATTCTTTTATTAATTTTCTTATGCAATTCCAGGAGATGAGATGCAAATACATATGCGGACTCAGATGTTCTAACCTTAGGACACATAGGGATTAAATCTATAGGCTGTCTAGGTGACTCGTAGTACGATTAACAGAGTTGTTATAGGCAAATTCGGCAATAGTAAGTATAGAGTCCCAGTCCCGGATATTCTCTCCTACCGAGGTCCTTAACAGATTTCCTAGACTCCTATTCACAACTTCAATTTGTCCATTTGTTGGGGGGTGAAAGACGGTAGAGAATTGAAGTTTGGTCCCCATTTTGTGTCATAACATTTTCTAGAAATAACTTGTAAACTTAACATCTCTGTCTGACACAATGGTTTTAGGCAACCCATAGAGCCTAACAATTTCATCGAAATATAGTTTAACGATCCTTGAAGCATCGAAAATTTTGGAGCATGGGAGGAAATGTGTCATTTTAGAGACTCGGTCCACTACTACACACACAGAGTTATGTTTCCTAACAATCTTGGGTAACCCTAAAAAAAATCCATGTTAACATCCTGCCAAGGGCAGCTGGTACAGGGAGGGGTGTGTAGAGCCTGGTGTTTTGTTTCGGATGCTTAGCTAACTGGCACATGTGACATCTCTTTATCAGCTGGCTAACATCGCGCTTAAGACTAGGCCAGAAAAATCTTTGCTCAACCGCAGTGATGGTTTTAGTTTATCCAAAGTGTCTAGCTAAACCTTATGCGTGTAATTCTCAAATGATGAATTCTCTAAGTGAGGTGTTGGGGATATAGTCTTTGGGATTTAAATAGATATCCTTCTACCAAAAAGAAATCATCAATTATATGTTCACTTCCAATGGTCAACAATGCGAATGTCTCTTTGAAGTCAGGGCAATCCATTTAGTTTTCCTTAATCTGTTCAAATCCAATCACTTATGCCCTCATTTCTTTCGTTATCATTATCCGACGGCTTAAGGCGTCAATTGCCTTATTTTCAAATCCAACTTTGTGTCTGATTGTGTAAGTATAGTCTTAAAGGAATTCAACCCAACGACCATGTCGTGCATTGAGTCTCTTTTGGGAATTTATATATCGCAAGGCTTCGTGGTCAGAAAAGATAACAACTTCTTGTGGGAGTAGGTAATGTCTCCAATACCTAAGGGATTGGATGATAGCGTAAAATTCTTTATCGTGGGTAGAATATCGCTTCCTAATATCGTTCAACTTTTCACTAAAGTAAGCCATAGGGTGGCCTTCTTGGGACAAGACGCCACCAATGCCAATACCTGAAGCGTCACAGGTAACTTCAAAAACTTTAGAAAATCAATCAGACGCATGACCGGGGCTTCTACCATTTTCTTCTTGATTTCATTAAAAGCTCTAGAGGCAGCTAGGGTCCATGGAAATTCTCCCTTTTTGAGACAGTTCGTTATAGGGGCTAATATGGTGCTAAAGTCTGAATAAACGTCCAATAAAACGTGGCATGTCCATGAAAACTCCAAACATCTCTAATGTTTTTAGGTTCGGGCCACTCATTAATTGCTCGCACCTTTTCGGGATCAGTAGAAATTCCTTGAGAAGATATAATAGATCCAAGAAAAGTAACATTATCTATGAGAAACATACATTTCTTAGGATTAGCATATAGTTGTTCATTCATCAAAACCTCACAGACTTGTTTTAAATGATTTAGATGTTGATCCACCGAATTACTATAGATCAAAATGTCATCAAAGTTGACTACTACAAATTTTCTTAGGAAGAGTCTGAGGACCGGTGTCATAACTCTCATAAACGTACTTGGTGCGTTACTCAGACCAAAAGGAATAACCATCCATTCGTATAACCCATCCTTAGTTTTAAAAACAGTTTTTCATTCGTCTCCCGAACGGATCCTAATATGGTGATAACCGCTCTTAAGGTTAATTTTAAAAAATAGGGTGGCTCCGATCATCATATCTAACATGTCATGTAGACAAGGAATGGGGAAATGATATTTGACCATGATTTTGTTGATAGCGCGGCTATCAACACACATCCTCCACGAGCCATCCTTCTTGGAGTTTAAGAGGACGGGGACAATGCAAGAGCTAAGTCTTTCCTTAATAAAACCACGCTGCAGAAGTTCATCTACATATCTCTTAAATTCAGCATGCTCCGTAGGGTTCATGCGATAATGAGGTAGGTTTGGAAGGGAAGCTCCAGGTACTAAATCGATGACGTGTTGTATGTCCCTTAGAGGTGGGAGTTGGTTGGGTAAATCTTTTGGAAAAACGTCAGCAAAGGTTTCAAGGAGAGGCTTAACCTTTACTAGGATAAGTTCTTCCAGGTCCGCGTTTACTTCCCAAGCTACTAAGGCGTAAAGGGGTGAACCTAACACTAATTTAGTATCCAAGTCTTTAGCAGTCAATAGGTTTAGGCCTGTGCTGGGTTTAAGGAGAGTGGGTTTTACGTCCTCCTTGGTAGACTTGGGTTGGGAGGGTAAGAGCTTAATCTTCTTACCATCGT